GACTTAATATCGACAAAGTTAGCTAGTATTAGTTATAATGTTGACCAATTTAGTCAGAATTATGTTATTTTGGAAAAATGGCTTTCAGGATTTTGTGATAGAGCCTTGAACGATATATTTCAATAACACCTAACTAATATTTTTTTCACTTAATTTTATATTTGTAGAAAAATTTTGTTGAGTAATATAAAAATTTTAATTGATTATATTTCAATAACTATATTGCTAAACTCATTTCTATATTAATGATTTGAACTAGGTAAAAAATTCCTAATCGGTTAACCGAGTTGGCTTACCCGGATACAATTGGATTAACCGTATTGCTTTGGTTAAATCGGTTGACCCGGTTGATCTGAGTTATTCGGGTCAACCAGGTCAACTGAGTTAACTAATCTAATTAACTTGAGTTACCCGGAAGTTGTTTGCTAAACTATTGAGAACTTTTTTTCATTTAAAAAAACGGATCGCAGGCCTATAACGATAGCAAAATCGCAATTATAGGATTATCAATTAATTTATTATAGAGATTTAGAGTTATCAATATACTGATTATTAGATAAAAGATAAATGAAGTACTAGTTATAATCGTTTTTGCTTAAATATTGCATTAAACTAGACAATACTCATAAATAACATGCCAATTCGCAATAAACAATTTCATACAAAGAAAATTAAATTTATTAAATTTAAAAAATTTTCTTTTACATTTTTTATGTGATATTTATATTTCCAACCGATTTTATCGGGTCAGCTGGGTCAACCGATTATATCAGGTCAGCCAGATCAACCGATTATATTAAGTCAACTGATTATATCGGGTCAGCCGGGTCAACCGATTATATCGGGTCAACTGAATAACCAGGTTAACCGGTTAAGCTTTTGCTTAACCAGGTCACCCAATTTTTTTGGTTTGGTTTGATTACCCGATTATTGTCTAACCGGGTCATATCATTATTTTATATAAACATATTTATGGATTTTAAATTTTATTATTTAAGAGTCTTGAAAAAAAAATTTTTGAGCATAAGATCTTAATAACTAGATAGCTAAACTCGATAAAAATTCTTTTATGTAACCATTACTGTAAATTTAAATTAAAAAATTTAATTAAGTAGAGATATTATTACTGTATTTGAATTATTAGAAAAATTTAGAACATCTTGAGATAATAACTTAATAAAAATTTTTTTTTTTAATATTAAGGTGACCACTTAGGCCTTTGGTACTTTATTAGTTTAAGCAAGTAGGCTGGTATTAGTTAATTTTAACACCAGCTTTATATATTATATCAGTATTATAAGAGTACAACTAGTCACATGTACAACTTTTGATTGCCTAATTAAGTAGTTCGCTCGAAACGTTAGTGTTATGCTAGAGGTTCTACACTAGCTATCATACCTATAGCCTAACTAGGAAGCTATCTATTTAAACTTTTTGGCTTCAACCGACATCACCTATTTCCTCCTAATATATCCCTTTACAAGGTAATTTACCATTAAAGACTCTAAGGCTTTAGCCACCAACCTAATTTGGGGGGCATTTATCCTTATGGTAAACTTAACAAAGTGGTGTATATCCCACACATGTGCTCACCTGCATGTTCGGTAATTTTTTCCTAACTAGTACCTGTTGTACTGCTGCCACCGGGTTCGTATCTCAAGCCAACTTTTGGGGTGCTGCTGTAACCCAATCTGTATCTCAAGTACAACCTTTCTAATTAGTCACCAATTACGTACTTCTGCCTTTATAAGATTTACAACAACCCTAGTACTCACATTCTAGCTGTCTTCTTAACTGGATTCTTTATCGGTCTCTCTCTTACTTCCAGCTAGCAACTTGGACGGGTCAGTCTGCCTAGGCTTTAGGATGCCCTTCTCTTGGTCCATACTTTCAGAGCATATAACCTTTTCCTTCGGTGTGACAACTTGGCAGTTCAGCTGGTATGTCCTCCACCAGCGGACCTGGTTGCTCGGTTCTCTGATTTTGGGCCCCAGTTTGAATTCAGCCTTCTTGTGATACCATCAAAAATTACTGCTACTTCCAATTCGGGACTTTCCAAATGAGTTTTCAGTTATGCCGATTCTTCAGATTTATTGTGCCAAAGCTTTCATTATAAGATGGTGTGACTGAAGTTACAGATTTAGTTCTAGATCCAACCGATAAGCATAGCCGTTAACCAAAACACAAGCCTATTTTTCAAATATCATTATCCGTAGAATTTGAACTCTAGACCTGCCACTTGGAGAGAGTAATGACTAGACCACTATACTAAGTTGCCACACCTCTTTGATAAAATTTTTTTTTATATATGTATCAATAGAATTTAAATAAATCATTTAAATAAAAGTTTTTACCAAGATATTATCACTCAAAGTATTGAAAAAATTTCTCAAAGTTTGGAAATTTTATTACTAAGTTTTGGACATGACTAATCTACTTTTGCATATATATGATAATTCTAGAGATCTAAATATATAATAATATAAGTTATATAAAAGAGAAATTCTTTTAAATCAAACCCCGTTTTTTCTATAACATGATTTTACATAACACAAAAAAGAACAGTGCTAGTAATCCAGTAATTTACTTCAACTGATCTAGTATTCCAAATCAAAAATCGATTAATCGATTAGTTAATCAAATTGGCAACTAAGCAATTGATAATTTTATTAGATAACTAATCGATTGTCGCTATTAATCGATTAACTGATTAGTCAATTGGTTAGTTAACTAATTAGCAAGTAGCATGCAATTATATCTAAGCCATTTCGATATATATACGTACTAACTAATCGATTAGTCAATTATTGCAGTTTGCAAAATTATCCTTTTCTATGAGCTTAGATGATTATTCTTCCACAGAAAAAACAAGTTTGACGACTAATGAATTTAATTTCAAGTCATCTAGGATACAAATTTGAGTATAATAACGGCAATGTATTTTATAATTGATATGTGTATATCAGTACACGAAGCTGTCATTGGATAATTGTAAGATAATTCAATTTTCTCAATAGAAATGCTATCACTAATAATCACTATAGGTCAACCACGTAAGAGAATTCAATATATCTGATTTTTGAGTTGTTATTTTTGTTACTGATTTCTAATATCTTACATCTTTTTATAGTTCATCCTTCACCAAGTGTAGATGAATTTTAAATTACACTAGATGTTGCAGTATATCCACATTATATATATGTTCTGTCTTCCGATTCTGGAGCTACCTATCTTGGCCCTCCTCCAAGCGACACAGAGGAATGTTTAGATTTGTATATATTTTCATTTGTTTAATGGTTTTTTAATATCTAGGTATATTTTGTAGGGAAATCCTCATGCTAGAATAATGTGTGAAGTAGCAATTGGTCAAAATGTCTGCAGATAGAAGAATATACAATTTTCGATCAAACTATCTACTATTACAACACAATCATCCACAATTGAGCCAATTGCCACCACTTCAACCGTGCCAGTTATTGTGATTTCATCTTTACGCCAATTAGAGAATATAACTTTTATAAAATTTGTTACTTCTACTATTTGTTCACTTGTAAGAACTAGCAGAAGCTGAAGCCAAAGTGAAGAACAAACAGAATCTTTGGCTAATTATAATTTATTAAAAAAAAGTAAAAGGCTAAAGAATAATAATTTTATTAGTAGAATTTAAATGGCTATCAAAAGTGTACATTCCGGATGAATTAGCCTTATGTGAGATGCATATTAGGAATAAAGATTTATGATCATAAAGTGCTATATAACTACCTTTCAATGCATATGAAAATTCAGATTTTGTTTACATACTGGTTTTTCAAAATTTGGATAGTTAACAAATGTCTCAATAGTTTAGCAAATATTGTATGAGAAAAGATAAAAAAATACTTTATCTGAAAAAATTGAAATTATGTCTAGATAGATAAATAATAGTACTTACTTTGTTGGATTGTTTGATATTTATCAATAGTTCATGGATTCAGAAATTTGATTTTTCATTTTTTGAAATCAGAATACTGATATATATATATTAAGTTCTTCAAGGATGTTTTAGAATTATATAACGAACTATTAAAAAAAATTTTTTTTTTTTTTTGACAATTGTAGTACTAATAAAAAATAGTTAATAATTTAAACCTTTTACTTGTTAGTTATACTGTACATCATATTGTCTAATTTGGTGGTCAATAATTTTATTAATTTTTTAATCAATTGTATATATGTATGCTTATAAAAATTATAGAAAACTTATAAAATTAATATTTATAAAACCGGTAATAAAATACGATTTGCTAAATAAGTGTTATAAAAATAATTAAATTATTTTAGTAAAACAATCAGATTTTAATAAAATAAACTTTTTATTAATAATTTGCAAAATAAATCTATAAATATAAATACAGAATAAACTAGTATAATTTTTTTATAGTTAATTAGTAATTTAAAGTACAAATGATGAATTTAAAAATATTTAATTTTAAAAAGTAACATCTATAAATAAGTTATAATTCTTTATATTGTATTAAAAAATTACGGGTTTAAAATTAATATTTAAAAAATTTACCAAATTAATAAATAATTATTTTATATATACAGTATATATATATATAACAACTTAAGCATTTTTTTTATTTATAATATAAAATTAAATACTAAATTTTTTAAAAAAAATAAATAACCAAATTTATAACACTTAAGAAATAATCGTTTTTATTTTTTCTATAATGCATTCCTATATTTTAATTACACTTTATAATTAAAAATAAGATAAATAATTTATTCTATTTTTTTGGTAATTATTATACCTTATTATAATATATAAATATGTAAAAATTTTCATTCAAATGACAATAATCTGACTAATATTAACATTTTGTGGTCGAAAACATGACAAATCCAGAAATGATTAATATTTAAAATAAAGTGCTTTGTAGAATGTTTATTTACAAAATAAAATAGAAAGAAAAAAATTAGTAATACAAGTGTCCCAATACTTCAATGCGTACAAATTAATATCGCATCTTCTTAATTCTGGCCTGTGCATTCTCTGACGTTGGTGAGAATATCGGAAGTGGGTGTGCTTCAGTATTGAACACATATTTATCCAACGGTATTAGATCGTCGGGACCAAATAAAAGGTAAAAATATTTCAATGTTTCAGCCTGTTTAAAGAAATAATTAATAAATAATTAATAAAACAACAACAATAATAAAAATAATAATAAATTTATTTAAAATGACTTTAATAATTACCAGCCAAAAAGTTTCCATCTTATCACGCTGCCTAGGTGGTACGACAGTAACATCATCTAATGATGTATATCCGCCTTCTTTTACTTTAGTATATTTTTCAAAAGCTTGGAATATTTCCCATCCCCACTCTCTGAAAAAATGAAAAGTTAATCTACTAGATCTTTTACAGGCAATCAATAATAATTTGGAATAAATACATGCCTATATTGAATATCACCAGTTAGCCTCCAAAGTATGAATAAGCTTTCAACAGTCTCAGGACGCAATAAATTATGACCATCGAGCGATTTTATAATTATATCAGTGGTTGCATCATCAGATGTAGAAAAATAAACTATTTCTGGGGCAAGTCCAGTAGTTGTACTAAAGTACATTTCAACGCATGTCTTTGCCAATTCTTTTCCTATATTAAGATCCTCTAAATCATTATCGGACATATTTTTTTGAACATCATGTACTTTTCGGCCTCGTGTCGCACCAAGAGCCAAATTTCCACCCATAAAGCATACAAGATGATCCATTTTTGGGCTGATTACATCATCACCAAAACCAGCTAATTCACCAATATATAAAAGCCCAGAGGGGTAAGAACGATCTATAAGATGAGTTTTTACCCCTTTGATAGCTTCATCGTACATACGGCGATAAAAATATTCAGTGTTAGAGGTTTGAATAAATTGCTTCAAGAGGTATTCTATTGAAAAAAGAAAAAAAAAAAATAGATAAAGAAATAAATAAAATAAAGTAAAAAAAATATAAGCAAGTAATTAATATTAATTAATAATCATACAAAATATAACTAATTATATATATATACTTTGACATACCATAATAACTATCACCACGAGCGCCCAACGTTATTTTTCCTCCCCAAAATTGACCATCATTTGGACTATTTATTTGAAAAGGTTGAATTAAACCCACTAAATATTATTAATTCGAATTTGATATTACGTGAAAGTTACCTTAAAAATATAGGCACTAAGCCATCGTATTTTTTAAGCTCATCTACAACAAGCATAATGTTTTGAGATTTATCCCAATACTCATAATTATCACTAAGATGGCTTAAATATTTAAATTCTAACTGTAATGTAGTCGCTTCAGAAGTAGAACTTGCACCACCATTAAAATGAGCCCTGATCCCTTCTCGTCTAGCTAAATTCACTGACGCATAAGGAATTCCAGTTGGTGAAGAAAAAGCACCAAGCAAACGATCACCCAAATCGATTGCTTTAGCAAGATAAAGCCCATCGTTACCAGATAAATGGTAAGCACTCAATAAGCCACCAAGAACTCGAATGGTTGTTTCAAAAACATTTACATCACCATCTACATTAAAGTCCAAAGAATTAGCAACCCAATCACGAGCATGCTCATACTCTTCCTTAAGGTCCATTATTAAAAGTGTGTCAAGAGAATCTACAATAGTAAAACCTATTCCAGTATTAGATAGATTAGATCCACTATGAGAAAGTGGGTGATACTCATCATAACCCCAAGCATCACGAACGTAACCGCCCCATGCATGCTTAAAAGCTTTCTTTACTTCCATCTGACGTTCAGACCAAGTTTGATCATTATGAACTTGTATAGGAGAATCTAATGATGGATCTGTATTTAAATCCTCTAGAAGGAATTTAGTGTCCTCATTATTAACCTCCTTGATAGGTGGTTGAAAATCTGATTGTTCAAAAAATATATATTTACTAACAAACACAAAATAAAGAGCACCAAATATTATAATAATAAAAAGCCACCGTGCCCGCGAAAATGGCATGTACTTTTTGTATAATTTCTAAGGTTTGAAAAGTAAAAATTTTTAGTTATTTAGAAAAAACGATTAATAGCATATATGAATTACCTTTATAAAAGAGCGCCTTGATTTATAAGTTTTACCATTATCGTAATCTAGGCGTGGAATAAGAAAGCCCTCAGTATGTAATTATATAATAAGTCAAATCTATAGGAATTTACATTACCGTCTCGAGTTCTTGGTAGCATACTTTAATAAATGTTAAGAAATAACGATAAAAAATGTTTGTAAAAGAGGGTAAATTAGTTCAACGCCAATTGTGTTACATGACTTGTTATTAACTGCAGTACTACTGCAGTGCAGCAGTAACGGTAATTCATGTCGTCTACGATAACCTTAACTGTTAATTTTATTCTTACGTATAACAATTGTATTCCAAAAGTTCCTTATAGAGCAATTTACTGATTTTTTTTTCACCAACACCGTCTCAGATAACACGTACTTAAAAAAACCGATTTTTAATATTATTCTCTAAGACAACCGAAGATCAAGTTTATTAATATAAGGGACATCACCTCAGATGAATAATTAATATCACTATTTTAACTTTTTTAAAGCCTTTGTGTTGTAATTTTTGGCATCGTCAATTTAGTCAATTAAATAGTAAATCGTCGGTCTAGGAATGTAAGAGACCCGGGGTACTATTTTGCCGAAAATTACGGTGTTCCCTTTACCCATGAATCGTTATTAGTTTCTGCAAAACTTCTAACGAGTATAAATTCACGTGAATGTTGGAGTTAGTATTAGGATTGATTATTTATGTCAGTTAAACTTATATGATTATTGTTGATAAGCACTATTCGTAAATTTTGTCAATTTTTTATAAAATCAGTAGTGTTCCGCAAAAAAGGATCCGAACACTAAAAAATTAGGAGATGATGATCCCGATCATGCATATTAGATTTAGCCAATAAAATTGTAAATGTTAATCATATGATAAAT